AAAAAAAAAAAAAAAAAAAAAAAAAAAAAAAAAGTCGAACTGCATTACTGCTGTCAATGCAGTCATGGTTAACCTGAGGGGTATGTAGGAGGAAAAAAGTAATTCAGAAGAACTTACCCTATTGAAAGATTTACAAGCAGCAACAAGCAATCTTTTCGACATCATTTTTTGTAGAATCCAAACCAAGCCCGCAACCGGTTCCACAACCTATGCGCAGAGCAGGGCAGGCAGAATGATTCCTGTGAACGTTCTGCACTGGTCTTGAAGTTATCAAATTCTTCGCTTAGCCACCGTATACTAAACGCCTAACCAAGTATCGTTCAAAGGTGCCCATTATTGTTTGTAACAGCTTCACTACCCATCAGCAACAAAGGTCATACAGCGGAGTAACAAAATGGTGAGGCGTATGCAGTTTTGGACTCCACTCAGGTACTTCAGAAGCGAAAACTTTTTGTCATTTTGCCAATTTTGTGTTTCCCGTATCAGATCTTCGTCGAAGGTCTTCTACTGACTGATTGATTACAGTCGTCTAATACGGGAGTAGTTTTGGCACTGAGTTGCATCTTTCATAAATGTTATATTGTTATTCCTTCTGACGACTGTTGCATAATACAATAAACCCATAAATTTGGCAAATTGCGTTGTTTACTGGAAAATTTGGAGGTTTTTATCAAGATTCGTTCTGATTTTGATCTTCCACTTCATCACTGCCCCTTCCGAATACAAACTCCCTTTGATGTTTCAGCTGTCACGTTGGTTAATCCAGTTTCGAATGCCAGTTTTAAGTCACCTGGTAAAAGCAGAAGGCTCTAAGTCAAATTAGCCCAACTTCTAGTCATTTGCTTTACCTTTTGATTTTCAACGCTATTGGGGAAGGTGAAAAACCTTATGAAACTCAGTGAGATAAGCCTTAGAGCTATTGTGAACGTCATAACTACTTCAGGTGGGTAGGTTGAGTGATGGACAAAATTCCTGCCTTCTCAGTATCACAGAATTGGTCGTCGCTTTAATTGTTTGATGACCAAAAATTTCTATTGCAGCAAATGAAGGTACTATTGATTTGATTCACATCTCTTGCTTACAGCAAGTTTTCGCTACGAATACTTTCGTTATGGATGTAGGAAAAAGAAAATATTTTGGGGGTAATTCAGTTTGTTTCAGCAGATGTACTTCTTGAAAACAGATGATATTAGCACAGATGAAAACTGTCAAACTTTTTTTTTCAAGTTTACATTGATAAACCAAAATTGCGATTCAAAACTCGATCATCGAAACGAAATCTGCTTACATTTTTTATAGCACAGAGTATATGTGAGAAAATTGAAAAAACCCAGGTTGATAAACATATCTGTAAGCTTAGGGTACGCAATTTATTTTTTATTAATTGATAAAACATCGGCGCACTAGTTGCTGTTAATAGAGGCTATTACGGGGAAGAGGCTGTAATATCACATCAAAAATATAAAGGTCATCCTGAGCAAAATTACTGTAAAAAGTTCTATCACAGTAACATATCGAATTTTTGAAGAGCGTTCGGTAGGGTACTGCAAATTAGGGTGTGATTTGTATATATAGTCCACCACCAATAAAGTTGATTTCGTTTGGGAAATTATGACTCCATAGTGCTGACTTTTTTTATCCTTCTTAGTATGTAGCTGAGGGAAACAAAGTATTGTAAAGGCAATGCCATAAATTGTATCTTTTTTAAACGGCAGTGATAAAGTACCTTCTGTTTCTTTAAAGAAGAGGGAATAACGTGAGAGGTGTCCACGGTGTTTTACCACTGTTTCAGAAAGTGCTGCCAGTCATTTTCGTTACGTTAATTTTATCGTAGCAATTAACTACGATTACGAATTGGATAGGAACACTTCTGCTTTATATCTTCTTGAAAATTAGGCGCTTGAGCTGTGATAGCAGAAACATCCATCCATATCATTAGTCAAAAAACGTCCAGGTCTTAAGTGGTAGAGAGTCCTTTAGATATAAAGAGGCTTTGCAAAAACTGTAATAAATATGCTTTGAACGTGTCAAAGAATAGGGACTCTGAGCAGTCTGAAAGTTCAATTCCGGATAAAACTTAGTTTTTTGGTTTCAAATATAATTTCTTATTAGTTCATCGGGAAAAAAAATAAGCGTTTCTGTCTGTTGTGAGAAGGAGACTTAACATCTGATAATGAAATAAAAATCGATAACAAATTAGGAACTTTTATCAGACATATTGTGCTTTCTAAACTACACTGTATTTAACATTGTTTTTTAAGAATTGTTGTCAGATCAAGTTTATCGTGACAATAATGTTGATGAAGATTTCTTGACACATTCTGTGTACGCAACCATTGGGAGATAGCCTGTTTTATAAGTATATCCATTTAAAAATCAAATTAGTCGCAAAAATTTCCACTCGAATTCAATAGTACCTAAGGTCTAGTAAGAAGGCTTGGACGGAGCGGCAAATTATTTCACAAAAAGCTATGATCACGTAAAAATTATCTGTTGATGGCTTCCCCAACGTCACCATTGTTTGCATCGTGAAACATTTAAGATTGTATTTGTCGAAAAACGTATTTTTGGCAAGG